AGGAACAGAGTTTGCGACGGCTCTTACTCTCGTGGCTTGTTCTTGGTTTTGCAGCTGATGTCTGAGGTGGAGTTTCCATTGGCCTGTAGAGCCCAGTTGAGGTGGTTCAGTTCATCTTGGAGGAGGTGGGGTTCGCAGATTCTTTTTGCACGGTCTGCCAAGGCTTTAATGGTGCTTCTTTTTTGATTTGGGTGATGGTTGGAGTTTTTATGTAGATATCTATCCATGTGTGTGGGTTTTCTGTAAACGGTGTGACCCAATTGTTGATCTGGTTTGCGGATGACTAGGACATCTAGAAAAGGCAGTCTTCCTTCATTTTCTTTTTCCATGGTGATATGCATATTTGGGTGGATTCTGTTAAGATGTTCCAGGAACCTGTTGAGTTCTTCTTCTCCATGGCTCCAAATAGTGAAGGTGTCATCCACATATCTGAACCATATAGTGGGATTTTTGGTTGCTGTTTCAAGGGCTTGTTTTTCAAAGTGTTCCATGTAGAAATTAGCTATGACCGGGCTGAGAGGGCTCCCCATAGCTACTCCATCTTTCTGTTCATAGAACTCATTGTCCTACTGAAAGTAGCTGGTGGTGAGGCAATGGTGAAACAGAGCTGTGATGTCTTCTGGGAACCTCTGGTTGATGAGTGCCATGGTGTCTGCTACCGGGACCATGGTAAATAGAGATACCACATCGAAGCTGATCAGTTTGTCGTTGGTATTTAGCTTGAGATTGCTGATTTTTTCAATGAAGTGGGCTGAGTCCTTGATGTAGTGTGTAGTGAGCCCAATATGGCTTTGTAACTGTGGAGCAAGAAATTTGGCAGTGATCCCGGCCATGAAAGCCTTCGACAATATTATTTCTGTGTTTGATTTATTAAAATATTCTAATCCAAACCCAAGTAACGAACGTGGAGGCATTACTTTTCATTCAACCCACGATCATACAGCAAATTTTCATTACTCCTTTCATTTGGTTCTTCCAAAGTTACGTTTTAAGAGACCTCCTATATTACAAGTGCTTTGGCTACTTTATGAAGCTAGAAGTGTATTGAGTAGCTACATTACAACTGGGTGGCACTAGCAGTAGAAAGGGCCAGTTGACATGCAGGTGACCTTTTGGTCTAGTGTTACTTCAGGACGTGCCAAACACGGAGACCTTGGACAGCCAAAAGAAGTTGCAGATGCGGCAAATATTTCCAAGGGTTGATAAGTTATCACTTGTTCCTATCACAACTTCCAAGGTCTTGTGCATAAATCCCAAGAGTAGTAAGACACTAGTATAAATGACTGATCAATGGACCTTGCTCTCTTTCCAAGCAGGGGAGTAAATGGCTGGAACTTGTTCTTACATTAACTAAGCGTAGTGACAACATTGGATTTTTCGCTTGGAAGGATTGAAGCAAGAAGCATGACAAAAGAAAGAGTTTTGTATGTGTGTGTGCATTAAAAAAACATTACATTTAATTCTACATAATTCTAGAACAAATGGCTCAATAGATCTGGGTGCAGTTTAGTTTGTTTGATGTATAATGGCACATTTTCCCTCTCTTACAGTGAGTGATGAGGAACTTTATAACAGGGCCTGCGGGAGATATGTGGGACTATCTTGCTAGATGCCTAGGATTGCTGGACTGAAAACTAGAGAGGGTTCCTTCATTTTTAGGACCTTATCACATTAGGAAATAGTCAGCTTCTGAGACTATTTGAGAATGATTTCGAACAGGTCCCATCACATGACATTTGCCCCATCCCGTCGGCATTGTGTTGTTGTTGTTTTTAATTAAATTTTTATTAATTTCTTCATACGGATAACACAATAATACAGTACGAACCTTAGCCATCAAAAAGAAAATATCAAAAACTGTTTACAACTTTTTGTGGCTAGGATACAGGTTCCAATTGTGCTACCCTTTGCCGTATATCTCCATTATTTACCCCTTTAAATCCCCCACCACACCCACCCACCTTTACCATCCTCTTCCCACCTCCTTCCCACCCCCATCTGGGTTTACTTAAGTCAGTACATTGATTTAATTGTCTGGAAGGCCTGATTTAAAGTTCTGTACCTATCTTTTCCTTCCGTTTTGTTGATTAAACAAGACCATTTCCTATACCAATCTTGTCTTGACTGAATATTCAAATATTTATTTTTCTTTTCATAGATGAAGTCATTAATTAAATATTCAGAGAGATATGACCACCAGGTTTTCAGGTCCCACCTTGTTTTATCTTTCCAACTTTTGACGATTGTGGCATGAATAGCGACTATCATAAATTTAATTATATCTGACCATTCGTTGTTCCCCTCCTTTACCTCTATGTTGAGGGACAGAAATCGAGCTTTATTCCAATGAAGTTTTTGCTCTATTATTTCCTCTATTACTTCTCTATTGTGTTGTGATCCGTCTGCAAAGTGTCTCAGAAATGGATTATTTGCAGACGGGATTCTAATCGTGTCTTTACTACGGATTCTTCTACGGATTCTTCCATTGCAAGCACTATTTTTGTGTGTGATAGGAAAATCTGTATGCATCCCATCAGCAATTATACTTTTTAAATGTTCATAGTATGACCTAGGGTGTGTTTTGAATGGATTGGGAGGAGCCAGCCTTCCGTGGTTTGATGAGTCAACACGCGGTATTTTCAAATCATATGAATTGTAATAATCATGTGTGATGAGGAGAGTTTGCATCCCGTCTCAATACAGTATGTATCCAGTCCTAAAAAATATGGGATGCATACTGATATAAGACTGACACCAAATTGGGAGGGATAGCCAATACTCCAGAAACAGAAGTAGAAATCAACAATCTTAAGAGATTAGAGAGATGGGCCAAAACTAATAAAATGAAATTCAGCAGTGACAAATGCAAGACACTCCACTTAGGCAGAAAAAATGAAATGCAAAGATACAGAAGGGTGGATGCATGGCTCAAGAGCAGTACGTGTGAAAAAGATCTTGGGGTCCTCGTGGACAACAAGTTAAACATGAGTCAACAATGTGATGCGGCGGCTAAAACAAGCCAATGGGATTTTGGCCTCCATCAATAGGAGCATAGTGCCTAGATCCAGGGAAGTCATGCTACCCCTCTGTTCTGCCTTGGTCAGACCACACCTGGAATATTGTGTCCAATTCTGGGCATCACAATTGAAGAGAGATATTGATAAGCTGGAATGTGTCCAGAGAAGGGTGACTAAAAAAATCAGGGGTCTGGAGAACAAGTCCTATGAGCAGCGGCTTAAGGAGCTGGGCATGTTTAGCCTGAAGAAGAGAAGGCTGATAGATGTGATAGCCATGTATAAATATGTGAGAAGAAGTTCTAGGGAGGCGGGAGCAAACTTGTTTTCTGCTGCCCTGGAGACTAGGACGTGGAACAATGGGGTGGCTTACAGCCGGCAACAATTTGATGCCCCCATATACAAGATAATAAATACAATAATTACATATAAGTAAAACATATGTAATTATTGTATTATATATAAGAAAGGAGATTCCATCTGAACATTAAGAAGAACTTCCTGACTCTGAGAGCCATTCAGCAGTGGAACCCCGGAGTGTAGTGGAGGCTCCTTCTTTGGAGGCTTTCAAACAAAGTCTGGATGGCCATCTGTTGGGGGTGCTTTGAATGCAATTTTCCTGCTCCTTGGCAGGGGGTTGGACTGGATGGCCCATGAGGTCCCTTCCAACTCTTATGATTCTATTATTATATCTCAAAGGTCCTTAATGGTTTTAGAGAAGATAAAATTTCAGCAGGTATTGCTTCATACCTGGCTGTGTAAGAAGCAACACCCGCTGAAATTTTCTCTTCTACACCATTAAAGGTACAGGAATCCTCTCCAGTGTTCAATCTCGGAATCCCATTAGTTATTGTTGTTAATCTTTTACTGTGCCTAAATTATTAAGTAAACCTTATATATATAAGTTTCAATGCTATCTGTGGTTTCAGGCATCCTCTAGAAGTCTTGGAACATATCCCCTCCGGATGGGCATAGGGGAATAATGGTATTGCAATATACACCCTATAACAGGGGTCCCCAAATTTTCAAAGCTGAGGGTTGGTTTACGGTCCCTCAGACTGTTGTGGGGCTGGACTATAGTTTGAAAAAAAGTGAAAAAAAATTTTTTGAATGCATGTATCTTTTGGAGTGCAAAAAATTGAAAGAACACTACAATATTTAAAATGAAGAACAATTTTAATCAAAATAAACTTAACAGTATTTCAATGGGAAGTGTTAGTCACATATAACCAAAGCCCCTTCTACACTGATAATTTAATGCAGTTTAGAGCTAGTTTCACACAGCTGTAACTAGACAATGGATGTCCAAAATAGCCTATGAAAGAAAGCCATCAATGTGCAACCACTCCATGGTTTGTGTAATCCAATCCAGACCTCAGTTTGATTACAGGAGTTCCTCTGAAATCATCTGCAGAGCAAAACCATTTTCTTTAATACCGGTTTGAAACTGCATCAAATGATTGGTGTAGATGGAACCAGAGGGGAAGGGTGCACTCCTGTAAAAATATAATTTCACTCATTGAATCTGTACCTCAGCTATGTTTCTTTCAGCTGTATTGTTTTTATATTGCTTGTGTTGTTATTTGTTTTATCTGATGTTTTAATTGGTTAAAGTGTTTTAATTGTCATCTTGGGCATGTCCCCAAGGGGAGATGGTTGGCGGTATATAATAATTAAATTATTATTATTATTATTATTATTATTATTATTATTATTATTGGTGACTAAAATCTTCTGTGGCAGGTAGCTTCTGTAGACTTCCTTTCAATGTTGGTTTTAAGGTATTCATTCATATACTTCTAAAGATATATCTTTTAAAAATGTCTGTATACATGTGTGTTGTTTTAAATGATTTAATCTCTTTATATTCCAGATCTGTTTTTCAAATTATCATACATACTATGTAGATAGATATTGTTTAAGTGAAATATATGCAGATCTGCCCACGAGATAATACGGTAACAATTTCTGTTGTTTTCCCTTTAGGTCGAATTGATGTTGACCATACAATGAGGAGGATGCAGCTTTTAACAGAAGCTGAGGTACACATTTTGGAATGTTACTCCATGTAAATTGATAACAACAGATCCCTACAAACATGAAATTTCTTCCTTCTACCTTTACATTTAGCGATCTCTGTTTAATTTCAGCCTTTCACTTTGTGAAGACAATTGTGCTGTTTCTGACTACTTACAGCTGACTGCTTGCTTTTTATCAGGAAGTGATTTTCAGTGTGAGCAAAGGGCAAGAGAAAACCCAAATCAGATTAAATCAATAAATAGTATTTGCTAGGATCCCAGCATATATGAACTTGGAACTTCCAGGCGTGGGACTGCTGAAAGATTGCTGAAATAAGCAGGTGGTGATACTTGGATATCATTAACATTAAAAGTTGACTTGGGACAGCGTGACATATTATTTAGTGTGGAGGTTTAGCAGAAAATGTTGTTTCCATCTGATCCTTTTAAAGAGTTCATAAATTACAGCTGGCCTTGACAGGCAAGCCAAGCATTGTGTGTGGGAGGACCCTGACCCCCCTCCAAGGATAGAACCTTTTCTCCAACCTTGTTCAAATGAACAAACTCAGCACAAAGTCTCCCCCTGCTCGGAGAGAGCATGGGGACCCCTTCACAGAGAAGCCCTGAACTTACCATGGCTTTCCGGACATCTCAAAATGCCCTCCCTGTGTCTCTGGAGCTTGGGGCAGAGATTATTTATTTATTTATTGCGTCAGAAGCAAATTGAAAATAAAGTTATAATGTATTATTAAAAATCACAAACAAAGTTAAAAACTTGGCATTATGCTAAATTTCCTTTGGCCACTTGGAGTGCCTCTGTTGTCACTGTAAGAAGGTCCTCCATTGTGCATGTGGCAGGGCTCAGACTGCATTGTAGTAGGTGGTCTGTAGTTTGCTGTTCTCCACACTCGCATCTCGTGGACTCCACTTTGTAGCTCCATTTCTTAAGATTGGCTCTGCATTTTGTGGTGCCAGAGCGCAGTCTGTTCAGCGCCTTCCAAGATGCTCACTCTTCTGTGTGCCCAGAAGGGAGTTTCTTGTGGTCTTAGCCAGTCGCAGGCGCGTCTGGTGGGGACGCGAGACAGAGCCTTTTCTGTGGTGGCCCCCCGACTCTGGAACACCCTCCCCAAAGATCTTAGACAGGCCCCTATGTTGGCAGTCTTTAGGAAGAAACTGAAGACCTGGCTGTTCCAATGTGCCTTTCCAGAATAGGAAAACTCCAACAACAAGTCCCAGAAGCACTTTAGTAGTAATTAAGATTGCCGGCACACTGCACTTACCCATAATCCTACATATCACCTGTCACATCAGCACTTTTAATTCTGTACCCATTACTCTGGCCCGGCCCAGTTTCATTGTGTCTCGGTGTATTGTTTTATTGTTTGCTGTTTAATATTGCTTTAACTGTTTTTGATTTGCTCTAGGTTGTGTATTGTTATGTTATGTTTTGAGGCCTTGGCCTTTCTAAGCCACATTGAGTCCTTCGGGAGATGCTAGCAGGGTACAAATAAAGATAATAATAATAATAATAATAATAATAATAATAATAATAATAATAATAATTAGCCAGTGATTGAGGTTCTGGGTTTTAGCCTGCCATTTTTGGACTCTCACTTGCTGAGGTGTTCCTGCGAGTATTTATGTAGATCTTAGGAAGCTACAGGGTGAGGCAGCATAACTTTCTTTTTTCAAACCTTAATAAAACCCATTGTATGAATCAGATTTTTTTAATTTTTTTATAATGTAAGCGCATAGCTAAAATTTTGTTTTACGTAGTTTTGAAGATCAAATGTATTTATTTATTTATTTATTTACATTATTTCTATCCCGCCCATTTCAGCCCGAAGGCGACTCAGGGCGGTATACACAGTTGGCACAATTCGATGCTGAAACAAAATACATACATTAATAAAGCAAAAACATCAAGTGCAATTAAACATAAATGACAGTGCATAATAAACAATTTAAAAAGAAACTATGTCCTCTCGTTCAAATCCTCATCCGTTACATTGTTTTGGCTGTTCCTGGGCCTTAGTTTGAGGACCTCTGGTCTAGAGGCATTTTCTCCTGACGTTTCGTCTGCATCTATGGCAAGCATCCTCAGAGGTAATGAGGTCTGTTGGAACTAGGAAAAAGGATTTATATATCTGTGGAATGACCAGGGTGAGACAAAGGACTCTTGTCTGCTGGAGCTAGGTGTGAATGTTTCAACTGACCACCTTGATTAGCATATAATGGCCTGACAGTGCCTAGAGCAAACTTTTGTTGAGAGGTGATTAGATGTCCTTGTTTGTTTCCTCTTTGTTGTTGTGCTGTTGTAATTTTAGAGTTTTTTAATACTGGTAGCCAGATTTTGTTCATTTTCATGGTTTCCTTCTTTCCGTTGAAATTGTCCACATGTTAGTGGATTTCAGTGGCTTCTCTGTGTAGTCTGACATGGTGGTTGTGAGAGTGGTCCAGCATTTCTGTGTTCTCAAATAATATGCTGTGTCCAGGTTGGTTCATCAGATGCTCTGCTATGGCTGATTTCTCTGGTTGAAGTAGTCTGCAGTGCCTTTCATGTTCCTTGATTCGTGTTTGGGCAATGCTGCGTTTGGTGGTCCCTATGTAGACTTGCCCACAGTTGCATGGGATACGGTAGACTCCTGCAAGAATGAGAGGATCCCTCTTGTCCTTTTTCTGAACGTAGCATTTGTTGGATTTTCTTGGTGGGTCTGTAGATAGTTTGTATGTTGTGAGATAGAAAACGTTTTCCGACACATTATTATTATTATTATTATTATTATTATTATTATTATCTTTATTTGTACCCTGCTAACATCTCCCAAAGGACTCAGTGCGGCTTACAAAGGCCAATGCCCTCCATAAAACAACAGTATAACAAATACAACAATAAAACTCATAAAGCAAACCAATAAACATTAAAGCAGTAACAATAAAACATTAAAACAATACATCATGACACATTTAAAACTAGGGCCGGGCCAAATGTAATGGATAAAATTAAAAGTGCTGGGCATGACAGGTGAAATGTAAGGATTTTAGGTTAGGTGCGATGTGCAGACAATCTTAAATCTCTAGTAAAGTGCGTTAGGGACATGATGCTGGGAGTTTCCTATTCTGGAAAGGCACATTGGAACAGCCAGGTCTTCAAGCTCTTCCTAAAGACTGCCAACGTTGGGGCTTGTCTGATGTCCTTGGGGAGAGAGTTCCAGAGTTGGGGGGCCACCACAGAGAAGGCCCTGTCCCTCGTCCCCACCAAACGCGCCTGCGACGCAGGTGGGATCGTGAGCAGGGCCTCTCCAGATGAACGGAGGGATTGTGTGGGTTTATATACGGAGATGCGATCACGCAGGTAGGCGGGTCCCAAACCGTTTAGGGCTTTGTAGGTGAGCACCTGCACCTTGAATTGGGACCGGAAAATGAACGGCAGCCAATGGAGCTCCTTAAACAGGAGGGTTGACCTCTCTCTGTAAGGTGCACAAGTTAACAACCTGGCCACCGCCTGTTGGACCAGTTGAAATTTCCGAGCCATTTTCAAGGGCAGCCCCATGTAGAGCGCATTACAGTAGTCCAATCTAGAGGTGACCAAGGCATGGGCCACCCCGGCCAGATCAACCTTTATGAGGTACGGTCGCAGTTGGCGCACGAGTCTCAATTGTGCAAAAGCCCTCCCGGCCACCGCTGATGCCTGAGCCTCAAGCGTAAGTGATGAATCCAAGAGGACACTCAAACTGTGGACCTGTGACTTCAGGGGGAGTGTAACCCCGTCCAGCACAGGTTGCCACCCTATACCCCGATCCGGTTTACGATTGACCAGGAGGACCTCTGTCTTGTCAGGATTGATCTTCAGCCTGTTCATCCTCATCCAGACAGCCACAGCGGCCAGGCACTCGTCCAGCACCCGAGGGGCTTCCTTGGATTTAGGTGGAAAGGAGTAGTAGAGTTGTGTGTCATCTGCATAGAGATGGCACCCAACTCCAAAACTTCGGATGACCTCTCCCAGTGGTTTCATGTAGATGTTAAAAAGCATGGGAGACAGAATAGAGCCTTGCGGGACCCCACAGGTCAAAGGCCAGGGATCCGAGCAGGCGTCTCCCAGCTTCACCATCTAGGATCGACCCTCCAGGAAGGACCGGAGCCATGACAGAACCGTGCCCCCAAGACCCATCCCAGAGAGTCGTCCCATCACATTATTGTGATGTAGGTTGGACAGAATAGATCGCAAGAATTTGGATCTCAGTTCTGAATGTCTCCCTGTGTTGTTGGACACTCAAGTCACAATATCACACTGCCTCTGACCGCTTCTTGACCGTTCATAATAGCACTAATGATGGCAGTCTGAATGAGAAAGCCAGCTGGTTTGGCCAGCAAGTGGATGTCCTGTGCTCATTTAAACAAGCCTCAGAGTCCTGGCAATGCAGATTAATGCCACAAGGATTCCCAGGGAGCAGGACTTTTTTGGAAATCAGTGAAGCAGATACATTTATTGTTGCCAGAACTCTGCCTCAGTGAAAGAAAATGAAGTGCAAATTGGGAAAAGCCCTAAAAGTATTTCGAGAAAGGCCCGTAGCATTGCCAGTCAAAGGGAACTGTGCAGCTAGTCTTTTTTATACGGTACTAGCGGTCCCCTGCCACGCGTTGCTGTGGCCCAGTCTGGTGATCTGGAAAATAAAGTAATGAGAAAGTGTTGGTTTCTAATATAATGTAATTTCTTTATGCTTGTGGGTAAACAGTATTTCTTGCTGTTTCTTTGCCAGTGTTGATGTGGAGAATGTCTGGTTTGCCTACTCTGGAACATGCAACATAATGATGTACTGGGTTGTTGTAGGTTTTTTCGGGCTATATGGCCATGGTCTAGAGGCATTCTCTCCTGATGTTTCGCCTGCATCTATGGCAAGCATCCTCAGAGGTAGTGCACTACCTCTGAGGATGCTTGCCATAGATGCAGGCGAAACGTCAGGAGAGAATGCCTCTAGAACATGGCCATATAGCCCGAAAAAACCTACAACAACCCCAATTCT